CTAGAACAATTCTTGAGGCCAACTAGAACAATTCTTGAGGCCAACTAGAACAATTGTAGAGGCCACCTAGAACAATTCTTCAGGCCACCTAGAACAATTGTAGAGGCCAACTAGAACAATTGTAGAGGCCACCTAGAACAATTCTTGAGGCCACCTAGAACAATTCTTGAGGCCACCCAGAACAATTGAAGGCCAACCAGAACAATTCCTCAGGCCAACGAGAACACTTTTGCCCCGATAATTCCCCGATCTGCCCCAATACCGGCGCCCATTGTTCCGTCTCCGATCAGCAAACACGACAATGTACAGCTGGGATCGCCATCTTTGTAGCCCTCCTGTAGCCCTCGTGTAGCCCTCGTGTAGCCCGCGGGATCTCAAGTCCCGGCACTAATCCCCTGGGTACACATGGAATAGTCCCCCCCCCCCCCCTAATCCTCTCATCTCTCGCAAATAGACGGATTAAACTCAGTTTGGCAAGTTTTTATAAATTCATTTCACGGAGATTTTTAAAGGCCACGAACTTGGCACTTTAAACCAGCTGAAGATTAAAAAAAAACTTGACGATTTTGTAATTTGAAGACTTGTCGTCTGAATACGACATTTTGTCGCGAGGATATTCCTGATGTTTTAGATAGATATGTATGATTAGAGGATAACAGTTGGAGTTATCGACCCTTCTTTACATATTATTTATCTTGTATTACATCAGCTCCGGACAAATTTAAAATAATAAATTCGCTTTATAAAGTTACGTCTAATGTAGTAATGTAATATAGGAACCATGAAACAATACAAGGGAGATAATTTAATACAAAGGAGCTAATGTAATATTGGATGTTAATTACGTTATTGATATAATGGCCACATGGACTACTTTAGCTCCTTTATATTACTTTAACTCCCCTATATAACATTACCTCTCTTATATTTCTTTAGCTGCTCTTCATTTTTTATGCTAACCAATATTACTTAAGCTACCTAACACTAAATTATCTCCCCTATATTATTATTTCCCTTATATTACTTTTGTTCCCCCATATTACTTTAGCTTCCCCATATTGATTTAGCTCCCCTACACTACATTAGCTCCACTATATTACTTCGACTCCCCTATATTAACTCTGTATATAACATAACCCCACTCATACATTAAAAAATGGGTACCGCGTTGTAGCCCATACGAAACACGTGAGGTCCCACACATGCAAATCACCAATGTATATAAATTGTGAGCTTCCCACACATCTACATTAAATTGTGAGCTTCCCACACATCTACATTAAATTGTGAGCTCCCCACACATGTATATAAATTGTGAGCTCCCCACACATGTACATTAAATTGTGAGCTCCCCACACATCTACATTAAATTGTAAGCTCCCCACACATCTACATTAAATTGTGAGCTTCCCACACATCTACATTAAATTGTGAGCTTCCCACACATCTACATTAAATTGTGAGCTCCCCACACATCTACATTAAATTATGAGCTTCCCACACATCTACATTAAATTGTGAGCTCCCCACACATGTATATAAATTGTGAGCTCCCCACACATCTACATTAAATTGTGAGGTCCCCCACACATCTACATTAAATTGTGAGCTCCCCCACACATGTATATAAATTGTGAGCTCCCCACACATGTATATAAATTGTGAGCTCCCCCACACATGTATATAAATTGTGAGCTCCCCACACATCTACATTAAATTGTGAGCTCCCCACACATCTACATTAAATTGTGAGGTCCCCCACACATCTACATTAAATTGTGAGCTCCCCACACATCTACATTAAATTGTGAGCTCCCCACACATCTACATTAAATTGTGAGGTCCCCCACACATCTACATTAAATTGTGAGCTCCCCACACATCTACATTAAATTGTGAGCTCCCCACACATCTACATTAAATTGTGAGCTCCCCACACATCTACATTAGTTGTGAGCTCCCCACACATCTACATTAAATTGTGAGCTCCCCACACATCTACATTAAATTGTGAGCTCCCCACACATCTACATTAAATTGTGAGCTCCCCACACATCTACATTAAATTGTGAGCTCCCCACACATCTACATTAAATTGTGAGCTCCCCACACATCTACATTAAATTGTGAGGTCTCCCACACATCTACATTAAATTGTGAGCTCCCCACACATCTACATTAAATTGTGAGCTCCCCACACATGTACATTAAATTATGAGCTCCCCACACATCTACATTAAATTGTGAGCTCCACACACATCTACATTAAATTGTGAGCTTCCCACACATCTACATTAAATTGTGAGCTCCCCACACATCTACATTAAATTGGTAGCTCCCCACACATCTACATTAAATTGTGAGCTCCCCACACATCTACATTAAATTGTGAGCTTCCCACACATCTACATTAAATTGTGAGCTTCCCACACATCTACATTAAATTGTGAGGTCTCCCACACATCTACATTAAATTGTGAGCTCCCCACACATCTACATTAAATTGGTAGCTCCCCACACATCTACATTAAATTGTGAGCTTCCCACACATCTAAATTAAATTGGTAGCTCCCCACACATCTACATTAAATTGTGAGCTTCCCACACATCTACATTAAATTGTGAGCTTCCCACACATCTACATTAAATTGTGAGGTCTCCCACACATCTACATTAAATTGTGAGCTCCCCACACATCTACATTAAATTGGTAGCTCCCCACACATCTACATTAAATTGTGAGCTTCCCACACATCTACATTAAATTGGTAGCTCCCCACACATCTACATTAAATTGTGAGCTTCCCACACATGTACATTAGTTGTGAGCTCCCCACACATCTACATTAAATTGTAAGCTTCCCACACATGTACATTAAATTGTGAGCTCCCCACACATCTACATTAAATTGTGAGCTTCCCACACATCTACATTAAATTGTGAGCTCCCCACACATCTACATTAAATTGTGAGCTCCCCACACATCTACATTAAATTGTGAGCTTCCCACACATGTACATTAGTTGTGAGCTCCCCACACATCTACATTAAATTGTGAGCTCCCCACACATCTACATTAAATTGTGAGCTCCCCACACATGTACATTAAATTGGTAGCTCCCCACACATCTACATTAAATTGTGAGCTCCCCACACATCTACATTAAATTGTGAGCTTCCCACACATCTACATTAAATTGTGAGCTTCCCCACACATCTACATTAAATTGTGAGCTCCCCACACATCTACATTAAATTGTGAGCTCCCCACACATCTACATTAAATTGGTAGCTCCCCACACATCTACATTAAATTGTGAGCTTCCCACACATCTACGTTAAATTGGTAGCTCCCCACACATCTACATTAAATTGTGAGCTTCCCACACATGTACATTAGTTGTGAGCTCCCCACACATGTACATTAAATTGTGAGCTCCCCCACACATCTACATTAAATTGTGAGGTCTCCCACACATCTACATTAAATTGTGAGCTTCCCACACATCTACATTAAATTGTGAGCTCCCCCACACATCTACATTAAATTGTGAGCTTCCCCACACATCTACATTAAATTGTGAGGTCTCCCACACATCTACATTAAATTGTGAGCTTCCCACACATCTACATTAAATTGTGAGCTCCCCACACTTGTACATTAAATTGGTAGCTCCCCACACATATACATTAAATTGGTAGCTCCCCACACTTGTACATTAAATTGGTAGCTCCCCACACATATACATTAAATTGGTAGCTCCCCACACATCTACTTTAAATTGTACTATGTCTGAATATAGCCAGGGGTATGCACCGTCTGACCTGTAAAGTCTGTCTGATGCACTCATCTTTATCTACACGCCAAGACAGACAATTTTTAGGCCGCTTTGTAGAACAGATGTCACGTCTATTGTCTCGGTGTGTGTGTGTGTATGGGTGTGTGTGTGTGTGTGTATGGGGGTAGGGGGTGGGGGTGTCAACATTAGTGAACTTGACATTAGTAGGCCTATACATTCGCAAACTTCAATGCTGAAATAGTTTCAGGAAAAAACTGATAGAAAAATGAAAAGAATGTCGCCTTTGTTAGCTAAGGTATTTTTTCCTCAAACTGCAAATTGTGAATATATTACATGTTAGGAATTTTAAATACATTGCGTTCTATACTTTGAGAATTTACTGCGAGCTACGTATTGTGAAATTAATATAAATTCCACCATTGTTTATCAAATGAAAAATGTGGCTATTGCGTAATGCCTTTAATTTTCCCTAGTGTAATCTTCACCTTTTACGCCCGCTTAATAAATTACATGAAAACATTCACACGAATTCTGGCTTTTACAAATATTACAATAAAATATAATTGATGCATTAACGATACAGAAAAAATGTTTTTTACAATACCCCAGCCAAGTTTTGTATAAAAGATTCGCAAAAATCTCTTGCTTTGTATGGGAACATGAAAAAGGTCACAACATAGCCTTATTCTGATTTTCTGTCCATCTATTCGCAAGCAACACTGCATTAAAACAGATGTCATAGAAATTATTTTGCCAGCTATTTACAATATACAGGAAAGCAGCCCTATCCTATAACGATACAGTAATTATACAGCCATGCCCTATACATTACACAGCCATGCCCTATACATTACACAGCCATGCCCTATACATCACACAGCCATGTCCTATACATCACACAGCCATGCCCTATATTATTACACAGCCATGCCCTATACATCACACAGCCATGTCCTATACATCACACAGCTGTACATCACACAGCCATGTCCTATACATCACACAGCTATACATCACACAGCCATGCCCTATACAGCACACAGTTATGCCTTACACATCCACCATAAACAGCCCTAAACGAACCATCCTATTTCCATTAAGGTTTTTTATCAGCTCATCAGGAAATATCTTGAGCTAATTAGTTTTGACCGCTGGCCATTACGTCATAATGATGCCTGATTTATTCATGTCGAAATGATTTAATTGCCAGAATTGTGGCCAGGTATATTGCCGGGGTGGCCAGGTATATTTCCGTGGTCAGTGTGGTCAGGTATATTGCCGAGGTGGCCAGATATATTGCCGGGGTGGTCAGTTATATTGCCGGGGTCAGTGTGGCCAGGTATATTGCCGGGGTGGTCAGGTATATTGCCGGGGTAGGTGTGGTCAGGTATATTGACGGGGTGGTCAGGTATATTGCCAGGATGGCCAGGTATATTGCCGGGGTAGGTGTGGCCAGGTATATTGCCTGGGTAGGTGTGGCCAGGTATATTGCCGGGGTCAGTGTGGTCAGGTATATTGACGGGGTGGTCAGGTATATTGCCAGGATGGCCAGGTATATTGCCGGGGTAGGTGTGGCCAGGTATATTGCCTGGGTAGGTGTGGCCAGGTATATTGCCGGGGTCAGTGTGGTCAGGTATATTGCCGGGGTGGCCAGGTATATTGCCGGGGTGGCCAGGTATATTGTCAGGGTCAGTGTAGCCAGGTATATTGCCGGGGTGGTCAGGTATATTGCCGGGGTGGCCAGGTATATTGCCGGGGTGGCCAGGTATATTGCCGGGGTCAGTGTGGTCAGGTATATTGCCGGGGTCAGTGTGGTCAGGTAAATTACCGGGGTCAGTGTGGTCAGGTATATTGCCGGGGTGGCCAGGTATATTGCCGGGGTGGTCAGGTATATTGTCGGGGTGGTCAGGTATATTGCCGGGGTGGCCAGGTATATTGTCGGGGTGGTCAGGTATATTGCCGGGGTGGCCAGGTATATTGCCGGGGTGGCCAGGTATATTGCCGGGGTGGTCAGGTATATTGCCGGGGTGGTCAGGTATATTGCCGGGGTGGTCAGGTATATTGCCGGGGTGGCCAGGTATATTGTCGGGGTGGTCAGGTATATTGCCGGGGTGGTCAGGTATATTGCCGGGGTGGCCAGGTATATTGCCGGGGTGGTCAGGTATATTGCCGGGGTGGTCAGGTATATTGCCGGGGTGGTCAGGTATATTGCCGGGGTGGTCAGGTATATTGCCGGGGTGGCCAGGTATATTGCCGGGGTGGCCAGGTATATTGTCGGGGTCAGTGTGGTCAGGTATATTGCCGGGGTCAGTGTGGTCAGGTATATTGCCGGGGTGGCCAGGTATATTGCCGGGGTCAGTGTGGTCAGGTATATTGCCTGGGTGGTCAGGTATATTGCCGGGATGGCCAGGTATATTGCCGGGGTGGCCAGGTATATTGCCGGGGTCAGTGTGGTCAGGTATATTGCCGGGGTGGCCAGGTATATTGCCGGGGTCAGTGTGGTCAGGTATATTGCCGGGGTCAGTGTGGTCAGGTATATTGCCGGGGTCAGTGTGGTCAGGTATATTGCCGGGGTGGCCAGGTATATTGCCGGGGTCAGTGTGGTCAGGTATATTGCCGGGGTGGCCAGGTATATTGCCGGGGTCAGTGTGGTCAGGTATATTGCCGGGGTGGTCAGGTATATTGCCGGGATGGCCAGGTATATTGCCGGGGTCAGTGTGGCCAGGTATATTGCCGGGGTGGCCAGGTATATTGCCGGGGTCAGTGTGGTCAGGTATATTGCCGGGGTGGTCAGGTATATTGCCGGGATGGCCAGGTATATTGCCGGGGTGGTAAGGAATATTCCCGGGGTGGCCAGGTATATTCCCGGGGTCAGTGTGGCCAGGTATATTGCCGGGGTGGCCAGGTATATTGCCGGGGTCAGTGTGGTCAGGTATATTGCCGGGGTGGCCAGGTATATTGCCGGGGTCAGTGTGGTCAGGTATATTGCCGGGGTGGTCAGGTATATTGCCGAGATGGCCAGGTATATTGCCGGGGTCAGTGTAGCCAGGTATATTGCCGGGGTGGCCAGGTATATTGCCGGGGTCAGTGTGGTCAGGTATATTGCCGGGATGGCCAGGTATATTGCCGGGGTGGCCAGGTATATTGCCGGGGTCAGTGTGGTCAGGTATATTGCCGGGATGGCCAGGTATATTGCCGGGGTGGTAAGGTATATTCCCGGGGTGGCCAGGTATATTCCCGGGGTCAGTGTGGCCAGGTATATTGCCGGGGTCAGTGTGGTCAGGTATATTGCCGGGGTGGCCAGTTATATTGTCGGGGTGGCCAGGTATATTGTCGGGGTGGTCAGGTATATTGCCGGGGTCAGTGTGGTCAGGTATATTGCCGGGGTGGCCAGGTATATTGCCGGGGTCAGTGTGGTCAGGTATATTGCCGGGGTCAGTGTGGCCAGGTATATTGCCGGGATGGCCGGGTATATTGCCGGGGTGGCCAGATATATTTCCGGGGTCAGTGTGGTCATGTATATTGCCGGGTTGGTAAATAAATAATTTGTCATAGAAATCCTCAATGAAGACATCGAGGCTGAAGAATGGACAGTTGGGCCGTGTGGGACGGAAAATAAAAAAAGGATTCAATAATAATGTTAATAATTTTGAGGGGAGGTGGTTTGGGAGTGGTGGGATGATTGATGCTGAAGTGGGAGGTGCAACACTTGATGAATCACAGATGACACAACACGTGATGTATGACATATGACATGACACTCAATGTATGACATATGACATGATACAGCACACGAAGCATCAAAATCCCCATTGTACTGTTAGCTTGCTGCATATTAATGAACTGACTGCAATGAAACGTCAAAAACTTGAATCAAAGTCACACAGTGTAACCACTCCCCCAACAAATGACATTTTTAATGATTGCCTGTGACAATATTACCAGCGGTGTGTGTGTGTAACAACAGCAGTCACATCACCACCACGTGACAACATCACCAGCGATGTGTGAGTAACAACAACAGTAACATCACCACGTGACAACATCACTAGCGGTGTATGAGTAACAACAACAGTAACATCACCACGTGACAACATCACTAGCGGTGTATGAGTAACAATAACAGTCACATCACCACGTGACAACATCACCAGCGGTGTGTGACTAACAACAACAGTCACAGAACGCGCAGACCGACTTTCGGACAAACTCGCTCTGCTGACAGTTTAAAACTTACAGATGGTCAGCTAGGATCGCAGCTGGTCAGCCAAGACTGCAGCTGGTTCAATGGACATCCAACTATCGGGTACTACACTTATCCATCGGGTACCCCAGTGAAGTCTCTGCCGTACTATCGGGTACCTCCAGTGACTGTGTTCTACCATTCTACCCCCAGAGAATGTCTCCACCCTACCATCGGGTACCCCCAGAGAATGTCTCCACCCTACCATCGGGTACCCCAGTCACTGTCTCTACCCTACCATCGGGTACCCCCAGAGAATGTCCCCACCCTACCATCGGGTACCCCAGTCACTGTCTCTACCCTACCACCGGTCCCCCCAGCTCCACATAACCAGGACGACTTTGGTTAATGTGTGTATCACAGTCCTGGTTAAGTCATAAATAGCCAGATGCCACATCCGTATATAGCAGTTTTACATATTTTCACGCCGACATTGCCATTTAAATATACGAGTTCCGATTTTTTTACCCTACCTTCACTACTATACCCTCACCCAACCCAACCCAACCCTACCCAACCCAACCTAACCCAACCAACCTAAATAAGTTTTAAAATTTAACTCTGTATTAAAATCGTAATGATGTATCTACATCAGAGACACAGTCTGACAGTAAAGATGGTACATTTTAAAAAAAAAAGATGGGTAAAGATGTCCATGTAATGATAATTTTTTAAAATGTTTGAACTATGTGTAAATGCTGATTATGCTGATGGTATATTTGAAAATAAAAGTATTACAACAAAATAATATATTAAATAAACCGGGGTGATCTCCCCTAAACTTTCTCGAATATTCTTATATAACTTGAAATATAGACATCATTTTTAATTACTTAAACTTTTAAAAAATAGAATAGAATCTCATAGAAAAAAGAATTGCGCACCAAGCGAACGCCAAAACAAAATGTGCATAATAGTGCGCAATATTATTAGTAATAAATTTATATGCGTTTTTTGAGAAATCGGAAATAGCGTAAATTAGTACTTCCGCTCAACGGAAATTACTCAAAATTTGACAGAAGGTAGAGAATTAGATCTTTTACTTACTTGTGGAATTTCATTTATATATCTGAAATAGTAATCAAGTTATAGGCTTTTGAAAAATTCGAAGTAGAAAAAGTACCACTTCCGGTTATCGGAAATCGCTCAAAAGTTGATCAGGATCTTCGATTTTGATAAAATACTTATATATGAAATTTCATCAATCTAGCTGTAACGGTACTCAAGTTATCGTGTTTACACACACACACACAGACACACAGACGTACGGACAAGATTGCAAAATTGTTTTCCGTATCAGTGAGGTGTAAAACGTCGAGATTTGTAAAAATCTCGATTTTTTTTGCACGATTACAAGACTTTCTCTATACTTCGTATATACGAGAAAGTAAAAAAAATGGTAATTTTTTTTTTCTTTTTAATTTTTACAACGCGTCATTTGTGTGAGTGCTATTAGTCTGTGTTCTAGTTCTCTGTTTTATTGTCAGACATATTGCTTCCTCAAAAAATGGTAAATATATTTTTGTAACAAGAGAATTCCATATGTTTTATTGATCAAACCAGCGAAATTTAGCTTTAATATACAAAACAACTGGAGTGGAAAATTTGGGTGTAAGAAAATGTTTTTTTTCTAACAACTAAATTGTAATATCATTAAATATTATAAAATTTCATTGTGTGTAAAATAAAAAGGTTAATTTTATATGTTAATACCATGTAATTTAAAAAAAAGTTTAGTTTCTTTATTTTCAATGCACAAAAGAAGGAAACTTTTAATTATGTGGGTATTGGGATCAGTTGCTTCCCTTTCCCTTACTTCAGTTAAATAAATCTTTTGTCCGTTTTGACATCTGCAAGTTTTCATCAAATACCACACTTTACTCACACATCTTGATGCAATCTTCACGTGTATGATAAACTTGTTGAAAAACAAATTGTATAGACTGTCACAAGAATAAAAGTTCTAGAATATACCGAGCCGTTCCCACACTATAAGAGCACATGTCATGGAAGCTGACATTACATTACACAATCTTTAAACTTCTGGATTGTTCTCTAGCATGTACTTTGGAAGTGGACAGGTGACCCAGAGGCGTAGCGAGGGGGGGGGGGGGGGGTGCGGACCGCACCGGGTGACACCATTTAGGAGGTTGACACCAAGGCAAAAAATAGCAAAATATATAGAGAAAAACTTGAGGGGGGGGGGGGTGCTAATCGAAAGTTTGAGTGGGGGGGGGGGGGGGGGGAGGTGTAAATCGAAAGTTTGAGGTGGGTGTAAATCGAAAATTTGAAAGTTTGTCCCCGGGAAGGGTCGCTACGCCTCTGGGGGGTCATACCCTTAAGTGCCGCACCAGGTGACACCCGACCTCGCTACGCCACTGAGGTGACCCACAGTCAACAAACGTTAAACCAATACTCAGTCGCTCTGGTACAAACTTCCACGGTAGGTTCAACTTAAACTTCCACCGATATACTTACAACTTCATCGTTATGTTCAACTTAAACGATTCTCGATATACATACAACTTCCAGTGTATGTCCAACTTAAAATTACACCGATATACATACATCTTTAACTTTATGTTCAACTTACCCCTCCACCAATATACATACAACTTCATCGTTATGTTCAACTTAAACTTCCACCGATATACATACAACTTCCACTGTATGTTCAACTTTTATCGATATGACAAAAACTTCATCGTTATGTGAAACTTAAACTTTCACCGATACACATACAACTACATCGTTATGTTGAACATTCACCGATATACACAAACCCAACGAAATGTTCAACTTATGCACAACTAACCGAACTGGCTCTTGACTAAAACTGCTTGTCTTTCAACTGGTTCATTTAAAATAAAAAAATTCCCTAAAAATGGAAATAGTGCCAAACGTATTCATGGCACTAAGTGTTAAAATAGTCTAGGTCCGTATCTGGTTCAAAGTAGTAAGTAAACTATAAGAAAAGTATATTTTATTAAATATTTTATTATACGTTATAAAATAAACTTAATGAAATGTATACCGTATAAAATGTATGCTTTATGAATGTATACCTTATAAAATGTATACTCAATGTGTTGACTATGTTTTCAAATATCTAAATAACATACACCTGCGTGAATTCAACACCTACATTTCTACTACACTGTTTTACGAATACTACATTTTACTACATAATTACAACAAATCTGCTACACAACTTCTGCCATCATAGCAAGATTCGGCCCACAATCCCGTTCCCTCCCATTTGCCCACCATTCCTCTACCTCCCATTTGCCCACCATTCCTCTACCTCCCATTTGCCCACCATTCCTCTACCTCCCATAATACAAACAGATAGTCCACACAATAACGACGACCAGCTTTAAGAAATCACAACACAGCTAGCAGCATTAGTAAACACTGACAAGACAGATACTTTGTTGAACGCCTATCTGGCATAGTGTTATGACCAGCCATTACGTGCCTGGCCAGTTTTAATGAGATTTTAATGCCGTTTTAAATGAAGTTGAACGATCTTGATTCAGGTGTGAGATACACAGGTGATACGGTCTGGTATTGATTTCACTCACACCGCACATGCATACAAGCGCATGTCCATGAACTTACACGTAGGGAGTACTCACACAGGGAATACTCACACATAGGGAATACTCACACGTGGCTTCACACAGCTCCTCACTCATTGAATTGACACACACATTTTTCTTACATTTCTCTCCCATATTCCCTCACACATTCCCATAATATATTCATTTGACATTTCTTACACATTCTCTCAAACAGTCCCTTAAACATTCCCTCACCCAGTCCCTAAAACTCCATCCCCCACCTTTACATTCCCCCACAAAGTGAATGTATTCTACCAACATGCACTATTAGGTCCAGGAAGTAAAATAAAATTAAAAAAAACAACAGCCAGACAAAAGAGGTTCAACAAATGTTGCATTGGTCAACACTGATGTAGACAGGACTATTGAATTTGGGGAGGGGGTGGGGTGGGGTGTTTGGGTTTCTAGCCCCCCAGCCCCTCCCCTCCGCCACTTCTGTCTACGCCGCTGTTGGTCAAGACTGCTTGCAGTAGTACACTGCACACACCCACGCCATACCAGCATGGGGCACTAGTTAAGTTTTTATGTGATTACCCTGTATTATTAACACAAATATTGTCTCGATTTTTGCATTAAAGCATTCGCATGCTAAAAATAGAACGATTTGACTACGGCAGACACGGTGGCCGAAGTTAAAAAAAACCAAATCTTATCAGAAAGTTTTGCTACAACTCTCAGTGACTAGCGCACCCAGTCCGTTTTAAATTTCACCCCGTGTTCCCTCCCCTGGTGAAATACCTGTGTGGTAGTCGCCCTTGTTTTATTTCAAGCCAGGGAAATGATTCATCAACGGGCTCCGTGTTCCGAAACCGTTCGGGAATTCCCCAACGGTGTTTAATGCTGAAACTGAGATTTGATTACAAATCTATGTTCGGTGATTAGGGCCACTATTACACTGGCCGCTTGAAGTCATCACCCCATCTATTTATAGCGTGCGCCATTTCTTGAGCCGGCACTTAAGACTATATTTAACTTGGAGGGGTAAAAAATGAAAACGAAAAGATTTATCTAAAACCAGAGGTAATCAACGCAACGAACTCGATAGAGGGTGGGAGGGGGAGGAGGGGATTCGTGGGAAGGATAAGTCAGAGTATCCCGGCTTATCTTGAATTTTCTTAGTTTTAAGGTGGGAAAACATCCACGTACTGCGGGGAAGGAGGGTTGGGTGGGGTGTGTAGGGGAGGGAGGGAGTGCTTTCTCCGCTGGCACAATGCTCACACACCTGTAGAAAAAAAAAACTTTGTCTCCCGTCTGACGGCAGGAAAAACGTGGAATTCAACAACACGAGCCAATTTTCATTTAGGAAATATCCATCTTCAGGAGTGATTGAACTAAAAACTTGGGGAGATATTAAGAAGGAGTGAGTGAGGAAGGGTGCAAAGGTAATGCAGTGGGGTTAAAGTGTGGGTTAAAGTGTGGGTTAAAGTGTGGGTTAAAGTGTGGGTTAAAGTGTGGGTTAAAGTGTGGGTTAAAGTGTGGGTTAAAGTGTGGGTTAAAGTGTGGGTTAAAGTGTGGGTTAAAGTGTGGGTTAAAGTGTGGGTTAAAGTGTGGGTTAAAGTGTGGGTTAAAGTGTGGGTTAAAGTGTGGGTTAAAGTGTGGGTTAAAGTGTGGGTTAAAGTGTGGGTTAAAGTGTGGGTTACAGTGTGGGTTACAGTGTGGGTTACAGTGTGGGTTAAAGTGTGGGTTAAAGTGTGGGTTACAGTGTGGGTTAAAGTGTGGGTTAAAGTGTGGGTTAAAGTGTGGGTTAAAGTGTGGGTTAAAGTGTGGGTTAAAGTGTGGGTTACAGTGTGGGTTACAGTGTGGGTTACAGTGTGGGTTAAAGTGTGGGTTAAAGTGTGGGTTAAAGTGTGGGTTAAAGTGTGGGTTACAGTGTGGGTTACAGTGTGGGTTACAGTGTGGGTTAAAGTGTGGGTTAAAGTGTGGGTTAAAGTGTGGGTTACAGTGTGGGTTAAAGTGTGGGTTAAAGTGTGGGTTAAAGTGTGGGTTAAAGTGTGGGTTAAAGTGTGGGTTAAAGTGTGGGTTACAGTGTGGGTGTATTAATGGAAGGCAGCTGCTGCGGTTAGGGTATGATGATGGTGTGGGATTTTTTTTTTAGTTTGATGGTGAAGTGCAGTGGAGTGATTATATTGCAGTGTGGTGTGGAGGTGTGGCAGAGGTGAGGTATGGAGGTGTGGTGTGGAGGTGTGGTGTGGAGGTGTGGTGTATAGGTAAAATAGTGAAGATGTGTGGTGCATAGGTGTGTCGTAGAGTATGACATAGAAGTGTGGCGTAGAAGTGTGGTGTAGAGGTCTGGTGTGGAGGGGTGGAGGGGTGTTGCGGAGGTGTTGTGTAGAGGTGTTGTGTAGAGGTGTGCTATAGAGGTGTGCTATAGATGTGCGCTATAAAGGTGTAATATCTATGTGTGGTTTAGATGTGTGATCTAGAGGTAAAGTAAAGACGACAGTGAAAACCCCATAACTTCTACGCACACTTTGAATTAGCTGATGTAACACGTATCAAAGTGTGTTGTGATCTGTAGCTGAATAAGGTGAATCGACGATGATATTGACGTTAAAAATGTGCTACACGCATTAAAAAATGAGCATTTTTTAATGTTCCTAAGATGAATTAAAATCCTCCAAGCGGCTAATCTACTACATTGACTGGTTAAAAAAAACTACACACAACAGCTCTTCAGAGATCAAAGGGGGCAAGTTTACCTAGTGACACTAACCCGACATTTTTTTCTTGTTGTGAACCTGGTGCTAAAATGTGAAGTGGATGTAGCTGGATACGGCGTGTGATACCTGGGTGCACAGGTGGGTGGAGTTATCGCACCTGCTGGCAGATAAGGGAACTTTATTTGATAGATGACGGGAAAAGTAAGTCATGTTATCACAGTGACCGTACTAAGTCATGTGAAGTTATTCAGGCATGGCGCTGTTACATCTCTCAGTGATGATAACTATTTGACTAGTAACAGCACATTTCAGCTCAATAAGGACGACTTATAGCTCATTAAAGATAACTTTATGACCACTAACGACAATTTTTTTATTCAGTAACGACAACTCTTGGACCAGTAACGACAACTCATGGTCCAGTGACGATAACTTTTAGCCCAGTAACGACAACTTTTAGCCCAGTAACGACAATTCTTGGACCAGTAACGACAACTCCTGCTGAAGTAGCGCTGACACCCTTGACACTGGCGACACAGCGACGTCACATCAAAGAATTTCTCGTTACTGAAGACAAATATTGAATCGGAGAAGCTGAACACGACGAGTTGAAACCTCCACATCTTCTTTAGTCATGTAAAGTAGTACGGGATCTTTGCTTATGTAGACTACAGGACAAAGTCCTTCAGGACATAGGACAACCTTTGTGTTGTGAGGACGCCCAGACTATGTTAGTTGACATTCGGCACACGAAGTTTTAACGAACATTCGTTGACACAAAGTGGCTATACTTGTTGTGAGAAAACTTAAACAACGGGAATTTCCGAACGGTAGCGCAAAAAGGGTAGATGAAGTTGAAGACGGTGCGCAAACGTCGCATGGTGCGGTCGTTTGATGAATGGATGAAGGCAAGTGCTGAGATGGTTGAGGTGCAAAAACAGAGGGAAGGGAAGTGTGTACCTTTGTCATTGAGGAAATCAGTAGACGGATTTAACCAAAAATAGACTAGGAGTAGTAGTAAAATTTTAATTAATTGTTGTATGCCATCTTACACCGTACCTTCATCAATAATTGTCCTACTGGTTGTCCTTCTGTTTCTCTACAGGTGGTCCTGACTGATGTTATTAGACAGCTCATTGGTGTTGCCCCCCCCCCCCCCCATCCCCATTCCCCTTGGACAGTCCCCTCAAGATGTTCTTTTAGACATTCCCTGAATTGCCCCCCTCCCTTAATTACAACGTCCCTTCATTTCGAAATATCCCCTCAGAAAACCCCCTGAAGTTGTCCCCCCCCCCCTCCCCGACCATCAGACCTTCCCTCCGCATCCTCCCTGAAGTTGCCCCCACCATCTAATCTTACCTCCGCATCGCCCCCCCCCCCCCTGAAGTTGTCCCCCTCCCCCACAAAATGACCTTCCCTCCTCCTCCCTCCACCATTAGATCGCCTCCCCCTCCATCAGATTATTCCTCCCCCCCCCAACCCCACCCCACCTCCCCGAAGTTGCCCCACTACACTACCCACCCCCTGAGCTGTGATGAACACATTATCGTGTCAAATTTCCGATGACCTGAACACATTATCGTGTCAAATTTCCGATGACCTGAAATGTTTACCGTACTCTTCCCGTCAATGTCGCAGTGAAACAATTTCTTCTCCTGTTGAATCAGGTCACGCTCTGGTTTGTTTCAGCTCATTCTTTCCTCTAACCTTACGTCGGTAGACGAATAGTTCACATCTTCAAGCTTAAAATATACCCACGTGTAAGAAATATATAAAGCTAAATCCTAGAGAAGGTCCTTTAATTCAGCAGCGAAAAAGGTCTTTTCTACAGCGGTGGCAAAAGTTTTTTTTTCAGGTGTGGTAACTTTATTTCAGGAATGACAAAAGTATTTTTTCTAGTGGTAAAGATCTTTATTCCAGACTTTAAAGGTCTTTATTCCAGAAGTGGCAAAGGTCTTTATTTCAGATTCGATTACTTTAATTCAGGAAAAACAAAGGTCTTTATTTCATCAGCGGCTAAAGGTCTTTATTTCAGGTGCGTCAACTTTATTTTAGGAATGACGAAGGTCTTTATTTCAAATTTGGCAGTTTATAATTCAGGAATGACAAATGTCTTTATACTATCGGCGACAAGGTCATCCTGGTTGTGGCCAACGTCCTAAGACCTGTGAGTGAGGTTATAAATACCTGGATGGGAGACAACTCATTCACGTAAATCCTACCCCAGCGAGAACCTATTAGATTGTGATGGGAGGCTTCCAAACTTAGATAGTAAAAAAATCAAATGTAGATGCTTTTAGCAGTTTTATAATTTTACAGGTAAACCCTTTCAACTGCGGTAAGACCTACTACTGCGGTAATTGCTTCCATATGTGTGCTCGTTATTTTAAGTGTTTATTTTAAAGGGGGGTAATTAAAAAGACATAAAGAATGAAATCGCTCATTAATATTTTGTTTGATGCTTGTCTGTATGAATCGCTCTCCTGAGAGGTGAGTACACAGGGGAGCGAATAGAGAGAGAGAGCAAGCAGGGGCATAACTCAGCACTATTTTATTGCCGAGCCCCGAGCTACTTAACTCTCTATCTAAACGGGGCTGGGTATTGCCGCACGAAAAGCCATGAATTTTTTATACGGGTTAGCGTGTACATTAGACCCGGGGGGGGGGGGGGGGGGGGGTGTGTGACCAGCGTAGACATATCTATAAAATCATCATGAACATCTATAAAATCATCATGAACATCTATAAAATCATCATTAACATCTATAAAATCATCACGAACAACATTAGTTTGCAGATAACATTCTATTACCACCATTTTATACCACCTGTACGATTACTTTATATGTCTAGACTACTTACCTGTCCCATGTCACCATCTTGTGGATCACGTGCCCAGTATCACCATCCTGATTACTACCTGTATCGTTTCACCATCTATGTTCCCTCTAAGCTGCGCGGGTGCGCGGCCGGGCAGTAGTTTTGGACCTGCCGCTCCGTCATACTGTGAACTAAATGTACCTTGTGTGAGACTTATAGAACATTGCGCACACAAAATACACGTTGCTTTTTCGCGTATATAATACCTGTCCCGTGTCACCATTCTGTAGACCTATTGTCTTTGCTCACCATCCTGTAGAGCAAATGTCTCACCATCCTGTAGAGCAAATGTCTTTGCTCACCATCCTGTAGAGCAAATGTCTTTGCTCACCATCCTGTAGAGCAAATGTCTTTGCTCACCATCCTGTAGAGCAAATGTCTTTGCTCACCATCTTGAGGATTACTGTGTCACTACCCTGCGCATGACGTATATCACCTCACCACCTAAACCCCCCTCATCACATCACCACCACCCAAACAACCTGGGCCATCTCCCCGGGATAAAAGCATCATTAGCTGAGATGTGTTCCACAGAGATATTTAGCCACAGTACCCCGCTATTGTCTGGCTAACGAAAGCAATCCATCAGGGAAAGTGTATCGTTTAGAAGACAACAACAGCATCCGTTTTGCTGCTAAGTTTCAAACGATGGATCGTCAAGTCGACGCGACAAGAAACCTTTGATGGGGGGGGGGGGGGGGGTGGCGGGGGGGTTGCTTCAAGTGTTTCTTGGGGTAGTTTATGTGGGGAGGGGGGATGTGTAGACAGCCGGGTGGATTTATTGGATACTAGCTGACTGAATTAATAGGATAGTAGTCTGAGTGGTTTAATAGGAATGAGGCAATGCAGATTTTTTTTCAAAGTGAAATAAGTTGATGAAATTTGACTCTTGGCAGATTTAAATCGGGATAAAAATTTAATTTTTCTCGTGTTTTAAAATGCTGGCTTGCAGATTGTTTGAAAATATATTGTTTCTTAAAAACTGAACTTTCAATTTTTTATTTTACTGCACGAATGGCTTTAATGAGGTAAACATAAGCAGTGGCGTTCTATTTCAGACCAGATGATCCTTTGGTCCGACAAGATCAAGGTCATCTGTTTCTCTTAACACAGTGTGCCTAGACGTCTTAACTCTCTTTAACTCGTCAGGTACCTATTATGGCTGAGTTGACTCATTGACGTTCTATGAACTGAAGATGTAAACGTAACTCCAGTCCACACCACCTCATAACAAAATATGCGGCAGGTGAAACACATCGCAACCTGCATATGTCACACTATGTGGTGATTACAACATCACGGCGGTCACGTGGCATCAGTCACGTGTGGAGAGGTGCATCCTCCTTGATAGGTCACGTGATATCTAAGGCGTGGCTTAGAGAGCTCTTCACATCAAAGTTTACTGCTAGTCCAGCCGCCATCTTGGTGTACTTCTCACTCTTGCACGACCAACTTTCAGCTAACACGTGACCACTTCCTGCTTATCACGTGACATCACAACATCTCTGACGTCACGGTGTGAGCACAATTTGTGGGGTGAGCAGTGGACCGTGTCCACTTTATCCTCCCTGGACTAGTGGAGATCTGCGGGTTGTATCTTGTTGCAGCATCGATCTTATGGAGTATGTCATGTATGTCACGTGCATGCACGTACCCACTCTCTTTCTGACACACACGCATTTATATATGCGAATATATATATATATATATATATATATATATATATATATATATATATATATATATATATATATATATATATATATATATATATATATATACATACTTACGTATGAACAAATAGGTAAATAATATACATTTGCGAAAATAAATAAATAAATTCGTATATCCCATATATATATATATATATATATATATATATATATATATATATATATATATATATATATATATATATATATATATATATATATGGTATATACGAATTTATACACTCATATTTATAATACAAAAACATATACACATGTATATATATATATATATATATATATATATATATATATATATATATATATATATATATATATATGTATAGGTGTATATGTATGTATGTATATATGTATGTATAGATGCACCGAAACGAGCGTAAACTGTGGACAGAACAAGGTCACCAGAAGAGCCAGCAGATATTTTCTAACACAATTAGAGCAGCATTTGTTCCCCAGAGTTGGAGGGTAGCCAGAGAAAGAACAATAAAAGACATTTGATTGGCTGCGAGTGGTGAATGCACGTGCCTGTTTACTCAACTAATCAATCAGGCAGAACAAACATGGCGCTGCTTTAAGTACACACAAAAATTATTTTAATTTCAAACAATTATTTCAGTTTTTAATCAAGGTTTTAGAAAGTAAACAAACTTTTTAAAAAATGCTGTAAAAAGTATAAAAATCAAATTTTGAAAAGTGGAACTTGGTCAGTTAGAATGTTGACAGTACTCCGGAACATGATAATCTCTTGTATTGGAAACACATGTTAGGTATCTTAGGTTTCAACTAACTATATGTGTGGGCCAGCTATCAATTTCAGCCCAACATATATATATATATACATATATATATATATATATATATATATATATATATATATATATATATATATATATATATATATACTATGCAGATTAACAACACAATTTAATTAAAAATGGCCATATATTTATTAACAGAAACTAGAGAATATATAGACCCACACCACACACTTTACCAACCAACACACTGTATAAACCAACACACTGTATAGAGCCCCACTCTGTATAAACCCACACACTGTGACAACCCACACATAGTAAATTACCACACCAAATAAAAGAATCGACGTTCAAAACCGAATTCGAATTTTTCTCTTAAAAGATGCATCCTGCTAAACGAACCAAGTCATATCACAGAACGACTCGCTTAACAAACTCCCTAAATCAACGATCGACTCGCTTAACGAACTCCGTAAATCAACGAACGATTCGCTTAACGAACTCGTTAAATCAACGAACGATTCGCTTAACGAAATCCCTAAATCAACGAACGACTCGCTTAACGAACTCCCTAAATCAACGAACGACTCGCTTAACCTCACAAAACGAACAGGATGTTATCTTTACTAAAGCACTGTAAAAACATTGACAGACAGAAGAAAGTTATTAGTCACGTGATGAGAAGAGATCTACTGCCCTATTTTGATGACGTCAAAGAAGTTATTTCCCTTTATAGCTGGTAATTATTGTTTTTGTGATTTCATACCCCATACCATGATCTGCTGATTGCATATTCTAATTAACCTGTGTAGATAAACACTGAATCTCTCCGGCCAAAACCTTCACACCGGCGTCCTTGTAATTCAATGTGGCAGACGGCAGGGGTAACAACTCGAGCTGTTTTGTTTATGGCACTTCTCTCCCTTTGTTTATGACCTTCCACCCCTACCCCACCTCAGCTTCCCACCCCTACCCCACACTCCACCTCACCAATAGCCTCACTAATTGTCAAGATTATTGCGTTTTTTTTTTCCTCAAATGATTTGCGTTTTTACCTTAACTGTCAGACAGCTTTTACATAGGGTGAGTGTTTGTTTAAAGATTTGTGCACTTGTGTGTGAGTAATTGTGGGTAAGTGTGTGGGGGTTTGGAGGAGTAGTTGTGGGTAAGCGTGTGGGGTTGTGTGAGTACTTGTGGGTAAATGGGGGGGGGTCTTGTGGGAGTAATTAGGATACCTGTGTGCGGCTTTGCTTGGGTGAGTAGTAAAAGATAAGTGTGTGGGGGCTGTGTGTGAGGGCTGTGTGTGAGGGTTGTGTGTGAGGGTTGTGTGTAGGGGTTGTGTGGGAGGGTGTAGAGTCCACGAATATACTTGTGAGTGAGTAATGGACGATAGGTCGATTTGAGTGAGAGAGACAGAGAGATATAGACAGAAAGTATACAGATATCTTAATGTGAGCAACTATTTGACTGAGTGAGACAGAGAGAGAGAGAGAGAGATTACAGATATCTTAATGTGAGCAACTATTGGAGGTAAGGTTGTCTATGTAAGTGGGGTTGATTGGTGTGCAAATATGTCAGAATGTAGGCGATGTAATATGTATGTTTGTATCGGTAAAGCTAGGGTGAGCAAGTTGGGATCCATGTAAAACCACCCCCCACCCCCCCCCCCCCCACACACACCTTTTTTCTTTATTCCATGCCCTCCCACCTCCAGGCTTTTTCTAAAGACCTATATCAATCATCGTTGAACTTTGAACCCCTGATAGACGAAGTTCACAGCCTTAAGTCTAGAAGCTTACAACTGGACCAGTACTCATTTAGTGCCAGCCGCCGTATCCTAGCAGGGTTTTCACGTGAGCTGAGCAAGTTTCTGGAACTGGCCAGACTTCAGTTGCTCCATGTGACCGGAAGTACCAGAAGTTTTTAACGTCGCTTCCGGGATACTGTATTCCAGCGATTACGTCATTACGCTTGTCTCAAACCACGACCATCCGACCTTTCTGTTACGTCACATCCTCTAGCAGAACTCTAGCTAGTCGTTACGTCACAATATCCAGCAGTTGTCCAGCATCCAGTTCAACGTCTGCTCTAAGATCCCACACGACGCGCCACACACATACACACTCTCATCACGACCAATTAGTTCAGTTAAATATTTGGCAGACATTTGGTTTTTTTGTAAGTTTTGATTCAAGTGTAGATTTTCAATCAACAACTGTTTATCCATTCCAGTTAAATAATTGTACATGCAGTTTCCAAAAACTATTTGCGCAGAAATGTGTCACCCTGTTTACCCCCAAAAACTGGAAAATTTCCCGATTTGTTTCCCGCGCAGGAAGTGCATTTGTTAGCCAATCATCTTTGCTTACAAACAAAAGTGCCGAGCAAGGGCAGACAATCGGATAGTTTACTCAAACAATGGGCGGGAAATGTTAAATAAAGCACAGGGGCCATAACAATTTGTCCCCCTCAACCCCCCCCCCCCCCCCCATGTATGTGTCCCCTATTAGT